TTTGAACTCTCTCGAAATCTTTCTCCCTAACAAGGGTGAAATTAAAAAATGAATGGGACCCCGAGATTAAAAGGAATGGGTTGAAACAGATATACGTAACTGGTGTGGCGTCTACGAAGTAGGTTGAAGCCTGCTTAATGACACGGCTCCCGGTTGAATATATACAAATGTATATTGGAATGGACTGACTATTATGTTTCCAGTTCTTTTATCTTTATTTTTATTTTGTTGTTTCTCTCTCTCGCCTCCTCTTTCTTCGTTCGTTTGTTTTGTTCTACTTGTTGGTTTTGGTCCCCGAATCCTAGCGGAGGAAGAAAGAGCATGAGCATGCCTCTATATAATTTTGGATCATGCTGTCGCGATCCTTCCTTCTTTTATAATGGCATGCAAACCTACTCTTTTAGCTAAGTCACGAATAACTGGCTTAATTATTTTGTGACAAAATTTACAGGTCAAGGATTCAGTCGGTCACAATGCCGGATACAGTAACTCGTCCTGCTAATAGATTGGTCAGTGGTAATTTGGAAGTAACCGTAAATTTTCCCTGTGGCTTTGCAAAGGTTTGGCAAACAAAAAAGACATTACCAACAGGGGTTGGTCCGAGTGGTAAGCGGCTCAGATTCTTCTTAAGTAGGTCTCGTGTTCGAGTCCTAGTGTATGCAGACACTCCTGTTGGGAGACTCTCCCACCATAGCCAGTGCGCGACGCGGGTCGGGTCCGGATTAGTCGGGACAAAGCTTCGGATACCGGGCGGGCAACCAAAAAAAAAAACAAAAAAGACATTTTTGTAATAGGCAAAAAAAAAATCATTACAATATGATCTTTTCTAAGGCAGATATCTTTACTAGTGTACAAGTCTACAAGCAAAGCAAATCGACCAGTCAAGTACTACGATTAAATAAAAAAAAGGGTTAAAAACTCGGCCCGCAACTTAATTAATTCCACAACAATCTCACATCCCCACCACCCGAAAAGAAAAAAAACAAATTAAAGAAGAAAAATATATTGAGAAAAATCTCAGTTGCTGTAAACATGAGGGGTGTTTTTATTGAAATCTTCACCTAATCCCCATCACACCCCTTTAAATTCCAAAGCATCCTGTAGGTCTGCTAACCTCAGCACCAAGCTTCCAATTTCTCTTGCGTCTCTCTCTAGTCTCTTCCCTCCCTCACGTCGCAGAGAATCAAGCTTGTTAAAGTAGCAGAATTGGAGATACGACCTGATCTCCATCATCTTCGTATCCCTCGAAGTTGAGGAGAAAGGAAAATGGTGTGTAAACATGCAGACAAACCAAAGCAGAAGCACAAGAAAGGGTTATGGTCTCCAGACGAAGACTTGAAGCTCAAAAGCTACATCCTCAAACACGGCCACGGCTGCTGGAGCTCCGTCGCCGTCAATGCTGGTTAGTTTTTAACTCACCAATATCCTTATCCTCCTCTGCCGCCCACTTTTCTCCTCTCGCTTATTGTACGTCCCGGCAACCATGAAGCCCGCATTCAATACTAGCTCTCACATGTTTAATTCTCGTCCTATTCTAATCATTTCCAGCATGTAAATTTTGTATCTCACGTTAACCTGGTCTGTACGACGTCAATGTAGGCTCCATGTTAATAGCGTATAACTATATCTGCATGTTAAGTAGTGCCGGGAAAAAATGGAGCAAGCTTCTCTCCATGGCATAGAGTACAGGTTTATTGATGACCTTAAACATTGTCAAAAGGCGCTTATTAGCCTTTGATTGCACTGGTTAATGCTGTTATCTTAGCAAGAAAAACCCTTTCTATATTAAAAAAAAAATCAAATTGCTGGTAAGCAGTCATGGTTTACCTCGATATTATTACATTACTAGCGGCCGCTCCAGTTTAGTAAGTTGACCATAGCGAGGTTTTAGAGCCATTGGCTGATTACTCTCCAGATTAATGAGTTTGATTTTGGCCACTATATTGGGTATTAATTTAAAAGTGCAAGTATTGAAAACTGTGTTCTCACAGCTACAAGTCAAAAGACGAGGGAATTTTCCGTTAATATACGAGATGTTCAAGTGAAAGAGATTGACGGATGACACGTTCCATATTATTATTTCAACCAACATTAGTGGGCACGATGGTTGACTTGGTGCTTTTCTCTCTTACTTGCAGGTCTGCAAAGGAATGGAAAGAGCTGCAGGTTAAGGTGGATTAATTATCTTAGGCCTGGACTGAAGCGAGGAATGTTTAGCGTAGAAGAGGAGGAAGCAATTCTGACCCTCCATGGCATGCTCGGCAACAAGTAAGAAGCTAATTACTTTTGCATGCTTTTGTCATCTCCTGGATGCCCCTGATTTTAACAAACTATTTCCTTTCTGCATGCTAGACGAGATAGGTACTGACCTAAATTAGTGTGTCTATGTTTACGGTGTTAGTTAGATTGTGGTTGACTTCTGAACATTCAAGTGATAACATTGTTATACTACCAAGTATATATTACTAGCACATTTTCACCTACTTGGCAGCATAACTGATTGAAATTGATTAGTTCTACAGTTTTTTTCTTTCTGTCTTGGATAGAATAAAGTTGATTCCATTAGCATTCTATTTCTGACAGGCCCCAACTGCTCATATAATTTAATCACGTATGCTACTTCGTATTCTTGCATCATGTAACAATATGTCTGAGAAGGAAGGATTTCACAAGGATAGTACAAATACAATTTTTTTTTGGGTAGGAAGCAGTGTTCTTAAGGTGGTTTCTGGGCGAGTCCTAGGGCAGGACGAATCTCAAATGTCCTGGAGCGATTGAATGGGGTATAAGTGTTGTCGGGTGTTTGCTCCATGCTGCTACGGGGTGTATGCCTCAACGTTGGGCGTTTGGAGCATTTTTTTTTTAGTTTCACCTTTGTTTTTATTTTTCTTTCATCCTGTCTTTGTTTCCTATCTCATTATTATTCTTTAGTAATCTTAAAAAATGATTTCATTTGTTTTTCTCTTTGAAAATTGTTTGGGAAAAATACAAAGTAAAAATGTTCATGATTTTGTTTCTTATTCATTTTTCCTTTTCATTGATGTCTAGATATAGTTATTTTTTACTAACATGACTAGATGATTAGCATATGATTTAGCCGTGGTTTTGAGTAGTGCAGAGTGAAACATTGAAGAATTTTCTATTCATTCTATTCGGATCTGTATTTTTCAGGTGGGCACAGATGGCACAGCATTTGCCTGGAAGAACAGATAACGAGATAAAAAACTACTGGCACTCTTATCTGAAGAAAAAAGTGGCCAAAATAGGTGAAACTGAAGCTCAGGCCAAAGCAGAGAAGTCAAGTTCGGCAAGTTGTTTGGAATCTTCACCTTCCTCGATGCAGTCAAATCCCCCAACTTCTACCATCGAATCAATTGAACAATTGGAGAGCTCATTGATGTCAGACGCAGAACAATCTGTTTCTCAGTCTCAGATGGACCTTCCAAGAGAAGCTTGCAGAAGCAACTTGCCCAGGGTACTATTCGCCGAGTGGCTTTCATTAGATCAATTTCGAGACCAGAACTGTGAGAGTTCAGGAAATCCAGTGGTTGCCAAGAATAATTTGGTTTACTACAATTCCGACTTTCAAGATTCTTTCATGCATGACTTATTGCTCAACGAAGGAACATTTGGCGGGGGAAATCACCAGGGGCTAAGTAATGGCGCCGTGGACGACATCCTGCCGCCAGCTCTCAAGTTTGAGGACCAAATTCTAGAAAACAGCTTTGTTGATTTTATAAATGGGCGTTTCAGTCTGACCAGTGATGACCTATATTTGTGAGGTGATGTTTGGTAATCCGGGAGCTGCTCTGGGGAAAGAATACAGCAGCACATGAACTTTCGTTTAGCAATTTAGTCTGCATGCACAGAAGCAAGAAAAACAATAAAAAGATTAAGGATTCATCATTTGGCCGACAGTTAGGAACATGAAATAGCTCCAATTGGTAGTTTTTGTTCCCACGAATTTGCTTTCCATAAGAACATTTTCTTGTAATTGTTGTACATGTACAAATAAATTTTCTACGCACTAATTTCAAACTCGCTTTCCTATCATTCATACAGAGACACTCCTGATACAAAGTGGCGAAGAATAATTTCCTGGACGGAAACAAAAAGCTGGTCTCCAAAGCAGCAGCTAAATTTGGATCCAAAAATGTTGAGTAAGGTGCTTAATTAAATAATTAGTTGACGAGGTAGTTGTCTAGAATTCCAATGAATCTAGAATGATGTACTCATAACTATTAATGGCTCTTGTAAGTACCAAATAAATATGAGAGAAATGAATCCAATAAATGAGCCTTTACTCCAAATATTCTTCTCAATTCTTGGCCTAATACCCACAGCAGTAAAAGAAAACTGACACATTACTCCCAAAATCCAGCAGCAGCACGGAGTATTAAGCTTGTCACTTCACAATTACACGCTAATATGCAGAAAAATTTTAGGTAAATGCTTTGCACTGCACCTTGTTAGGCTATACATGAGTCGAGCTGCTCGGGAGTAGTTCGAGTTAAGGCTCAACTCGAACTCAAATTCAAAGATACTCATTTCATTAGCTTGTGAGCCGATTCGATTATATATATGTATCTAAAATTATTTTTATTTTTTAAGCTCGAGTTTGAGCTCTACTCGACTCAAATTTGACTTGAGTTTGAGTTCGAGCTTTACATTAAGAGCTCATCGAGCTCGAACTCGATAAAATTAAGTCGAAACTTAATTTGATTCGGCCAAAACTCGACTCGCTTCAACTCTTTTGCAACCCTACACCTTGTTACAGGTGTACTAGTTGCTCTACTGTTGGAATTTGGAAAGGCATCAGACTGACAATAGACCTGACTGATCTCATTTGGTGTTCAGGTTGTTATTATGGCTAATAAGTGTACAACTTCATTAATCACCGAAACTGTAAACAGATACTCTAAGTTGCTAAATCTGCAATTGCAGATTGCTAATACAGAATCTATTATATAGTATATACAACAAAGTTAATATGAGAGGACTTCAGGGTAAATGTCTTAAGGGGCAATGCTCACTCAAGACATACTGCTTTATGCATTTGTTAATACTTCCATCAGTGTTCGTTGGGTAAGTAAGAGAAAAGAATACGCTTCTATACACAAACATGGCAGTATGAGGAGCCATCACGGGGTACAAGTTACACAAATCATGATATTGTCTTCAACTGCAATCCCCCAAAGCTTTATACTTGCCTGATCAAGGATCAAACCCAATGGGTTTTATTCATCAGAATATGGTCGTAGACAAAATCAATAGTAATGAAAGATCTTGAATTCAAGGCAAATAAGCATTTAAAAGGAATACCTCATGTTAGCACTCCTAGTATCCATACACTCCCTGGTCGTCTCTGGCAATTAGGCTGGTCCATAAAAGAATTGCACCAACAAAAGAGAGAATCGTAATTGGCGTCCATTTCAGTGCAATGACCTGTGGATTTTAGAACCCGGAGTATGAGTGTCCCAAGTAATAAGTATAGCTCTGTCCAACATGACAAGCTTCTTACACCACGGTCTTATTAAAAATTCGTTTCTTTTCTATTCTTTGTTTTTGTTCTATTGGAGATTATATCCATACCTCAAGTTTTTTAGAACCCCAGATTTGTGAAACCTGTTCTGATGATTCCGTTGCTCTTTCTAGCAGGTCTGATAATACAGAAAATCATCGCAGCTAATGGTAAATAATCCATTTTGAATGCAAATGAATAGGAGAGGAGAGAACATATTCAATAAAAATCTTACAGGATCTTTTCCTTCTTTTCACTATCTGCGAGAAGTCCTCTGTCACGAAATCCACATTTTGCAGAGATTTAGCATTCAGCTTTGACAAATTTGTCTGCGTCCTAGTATCCACGTACTGCCTTCTAATATTTCCAATAATACTACCTGCTAGCAACAGCATGCAGAGACGGAACAAGTCATCCATCAACTTTAGCTCAATTTCTTTTATTCTTCAGGGAAGCAAATGAATAGGATTCATTGTGCCCTGAAATGTCTAAGAAACTTTAAACAAAATGGAATCTGCTGGAGATTACCAAATCTAATGAAGCTGTATGGTTTTGTTATTCTTTCTACAAGGCTGGTATCAAACTTCTCAAATTCTTTAGCCAACTCCTGCAGATAGCAGTGTACCAGTTTCCGCGGATACGATGAATCGCAAAGGGTCATGAAACAAACTCCATGCCCCACTATATAGCTGCCTCAGATCAAAATACCAATAAGAGTTGCTCCGTGCTATATTTGAATGACCAACTAATACTACTGGCAAAACACTCTGATGTGCAATCTAGTTTGTCATGAGAAACACTGCAGAAAATATCTACTACACACTAGAAAACCCGAATCAAATCCTTCTGAAAATGTAATCGTGAAGTTCTTTAAGAAACAAAAAGAATTCAAATCTGCAGTGTTTATGTCCATTTAGTTCTTTCATTTTTACCTCAGCCCTTGTGACAGAGAACCAGTTAAATTGTCAGAATGAAGCTGAAAAAGAGCGAATACTTTTGGGGAAGAAAGGCAATTGGGTTGCTTATATATAATTAAAGTAACACCCAAAAAGAGGGAAAATGCAGAGAAGAGAAGGATACGTACTAGAAGCAATGGTGATCAATGCGAATGTTGGTATTGGAAAGGGGGAGGGCAGCTCTTGAGATTTCCTCGAGAATGAACTCTCCTTGTTGCTTGTACGTTGAGAAGCTGTCATTCTCTTCTTCGTTAACGTACCTTGGGCCTTGCGCAAGAGGCAACCCATCACTCACCCTCCCAATTATGGTCAGCTTCACCATTCCTCTGGATATAATATAGTAATTGGAATTGAAGAAGAAACTAGAAATAGAAGGAAGGAAGAGAAAGAAAAAAAAAAAAAAAAAACGGCCTTTCTTGCTTTTTGGGTTGACCAAATTCTGACGGGTTCTGATGAATGGAGAGCTAAAGAGGAGTTTAAGGAACTTTTTATATGTGCATGGGGATGGATAACCGGATAAGGGAGGCGCAGAAATTGGGCAAATTTTGAGATGACTTAAGGAAGAAGTTATCCTTTGTTTGCTATCAAGATGCCCTTACGCGGTGGAGAAATGCTTTAGGAAGCAAAGGGCGGCGATTAAGTTATACATGGAAAAGCCCATGCTATAATGGTTTTGTAATGGGACGATGAATATATTTAGTTGTACGATTTAACAAATTTTACAATTACACTGCTTTAGGAAAAGTCTGAAGTAACGATCGTTATGGTAACGAAACTGTTTTTACCTGATATAACAGGTAAAAACACTTTTAGCGACCATTTGATTACATGTTGTACTGATCATCTAAATAAAATAGTACCTAAAAATATGGTTAGTAAGTTTTACATTAAAAATAGTAAGTTAACTCAAGAAATTAGTAACTTTTATGTCTCAAAAAGTAAATTTGAATAAATATGGAACTTACTTTTTTTTTGAAGTAAATAACTACACTATATCTGAAACTTACTTTTTGGAGAGTAAGTTTAGTTCAAATAATAGTAAGTTTTTATAGATTAATAGTAAATATTGTTGATAGAATAGTAAATTTGGTTAATCATCAAAACTTACTAGTTTGTGGCATAAATTAACTATTTTACTTAAAGAAACTTATATGAAACAAGTATTAGGAAATTTATTTGAAATAATGCTAAGATTTTTTATTAATAATTGAAGCTTATTATTGTAGTTAGTAATTGCTCGTAATGTAAATGTATGATACACAATTGTACGTATCATTTATAAATGTTATATGTTTTAAACATTTTAAATATACTATGAAAACTTTTTTTTTTTTTTTTGCATATGACGTCATAAAATATGTAAGAATAATTTGTCATATTATAAATTTTGAATTATTTTTGAATTTTTGAAAGGTTAGAAAGTTTGGATGATAGTAACAACAAATCTTTCGAGTTATATATAGAATTGCACTTATATGTACATCACAATTTCCATATATGGACACCTATGAATATAATAAAATGGTACGCAATTTTCATATATTAATGCCTATGAATTTTATAAAATGGTAAAGTCTTAATAAATTTTTGTTTGTTTGGATAGGGTATTATTTGAAATATTATTTGGAATAATTACTGTAGCACTTTTTGTGATGTGATGTATGTGAGATAAAAAAGTGGGTTGGAAAATATGTTTATGATGCAAGCGAAATATTATTTGGGATAAGTTTTGTATCCAAACACTCCCTTTTATTTTCTGGGTCACAAGTATAAAAATTAAAGTTGTATTAACATAGCATAATCTTTGAAAATTATAGTAAAATTACCCATATGTTAAGTTCTGTGACTTTCAAACATACTTTGTATCATTTACATTATGGATTTGTATCCATATGTTTTCTATTAAACTCCTTTTTTTATTGGCAAATGGTAAGTGAATTATTATAAAAGGTCATTTTATAATAATTATAATTTTTTATAGATGAATTTTATGTAAACTGTTAAAATTATGAATTCACAATTGACTAAATCTGACTACTTTTATTGTTTAAAAAATCTCAAATTGTTGACTAAATTCAAAATAATTCTATTGTGAAAAATATTTTTTCTCAAATTAACTTTCATGATTAGATATGAGATACAAATATGGTAAAATATCCCTCATACGTATGTCATGGATATTTCAGACTTTTAGTAAAAAAAAATTTTGTTGTTAAAATAACATTGTATCATAGTGTACTAATTATTTTAGGACCATTTTATACATGAACTAAATTTAATTTAAATTATACAATAGATTATATATGCATGTGATTTTCATTTATAATTATTGGATCCTATTCTTATGAACAATCTCCTAAGGAAAAAAATCCAGATCATACTGATTTTCTTATATTAATTGTTATACTAATTTTATCATTTTTATTATTATATTATTTCTCATTTTGTTTAGGCCTTTACTCTTATTATTTCTTGTGTCTCAGATGTAAATTTATTAAAACTTTATCATCTTATTATATTCATAGGTGTTAATTTATAAAAATTTTGATATATAAACAAGTAATATTCTATATATATCTAGGAAGATTTGTTGTTATTGTTATCCAAACTTTCAAACTTTTCAAAAATTGAAAATGATTAAAAACTTATAATACGACAAAATTTTATTACATATTTTACAAGATTATGTGAAAAGTCAAACTATTTTTCATAGTATTTTAAAATATGTAAATAAATTTTTTTTAAATGATAACTATAATCATGTATTATACAGATATATTATGAGTACTTACTAACTAAGATACTAAGAATTAATCATTAATAAAACATCTTATCGTTATTTCAAATAAATTTCCTAATACTAGTTTGAAATATGTTTTAAAGTAAAATAGTACATGTGTCCCATAAATCAGTAAGTTTTGATTATTAATCAATTTTACCATGTTATCAGTAAGAATTACTATTTATGTATAAAAACTTACTATTACTTGAGTTAAACTTACACTCTAAAAAGTAAGTTTGGGATATAAAGTAGTAATTTATTTATTTAAAAAGTAAGTTTAATATTTATTCCAATTTTTATTTTGAAGTATAAAAGTTACTAATTTATTACTGTTAACTTACTATTTTAGATGGGAAACTTACTTTCTTATTTTTAAGTGTTATCCTATTTAGGTGGATAGGCCTATCAAATAATCAAATGGCCGTTCAAAGTAAATCAAAAATAAATAAAAAATGGTCATATAAGTGTTATCCTATTTATGTCTCATAAAGTAAATTGAAATAAAAATGAAAGTTACTTTTTTTAAAAAAATAAATTACTACTCTATATTCGAAACTTAGTTTTTTGAGAGTAAGTTTAGTTCGAGTAATAGTAAATTTTTATAGATTAATGGTAAATCTTGTTGATAGAATAGTAAATTTGGTTAATCATCAAAACTTACTAGTTTGTGGCATAAATTTACTATTTTACTTAAAGAAACTTATATGAAACAAGTATTAGGAAGTTTATTTAAAATAGTGTTAAGATTTTTTTATTAATGATTGAAACTTAATATTATAGTTAGTAGTTGTTGGTAACATAAATGTATAATACATGATTGTATGTTTCATTCATAAATGTTTTGTGTTTTAAGCATTTTAATAAATGTATGTATCATTTATAAATGTTATGTGTTTTAATAAATTTATTTTCTAGGTCACAAGTATAAAAGGTAAAGTTGTACTAATGTAGCGTAATCTTTTAAAATTATAGTAAATTTACCTATCTATTAAGTTTCGTGAGTTTCAAATATATTTTGTATCATTCACAATATGGATTTATATGCACATTTTTTTTATCAAACTTACTTTTAATTGCCAAATAGTATGTAAATTATTATAAAGTGTCATTTTATAATAACCATAATTTTTATAGTGAATGGTATATAAACTGCTAAAATTGTCAATTTATAAATGATCAAATCTTACTACTTTATGGCATATATTAGTCAAATCAACTAAAAAATTACCGTAATTAAGTGTACGTTGGTTGTTGATTTGAAATTTGCATCACTATCACTATTTCGTTATTACTACCACAAGTTTTTCTAATCAAAGTAAAACAAAGTCAAATATCTTTTCCTTTTGTATGCAGTATTTATGTTTAGTAAAAACTTAGTAAACCATGATTACATTTCATAATTTGTAATGAAATTAGTAACATTTTCTAAATAAATTGGAATAATTTGTAAAATATGTCTTTTTTTTACCAATATAATTAGGGGTGGCAATTGAGTCCAAATCGGATTGGCGGGTCGGGTTGAGACCGGGTATAATAGAAAATTTATTGACCCGAACCTGACTTGCTAACCCGAAACAGGTCAGGATATCTGACTCGAACCCAAAAATTTCAGGTCGGTGGGTTGACGAGTCGACCCGAATGACCCGAAACTTAATTTTAATTTATTAATTTACCACTGTAATTTCTAATAAAACCAATTTTGCACAATACTAATTACATAATCAAATAATAAAAATTTAAATAAATAATCCCAAACCAAATCAAAAATAAATTAAAACAGTATAAAAGTAAAAAATAATATAATACATTATTTGTCCAAATATAATAATTTCAACTTCACACAAGTTAAATAAATTCATTTAGGATTAAGTGATTAATGCCTTTGAATGTTTAACCACTAACAAAAATAGCAACCTAAGATTTAATATCATTTAGTAACTTTTAATAACTGATACTTACGCACCAAAATTAAGCTGGCAGGACACTAGATATAGATATCTAAGCATGACAAGATTACATGGCCAAGAACTGAATTTAGAGCACAAAGACTTTGGGTTCAGAAAACTGAAACAATCAAAAGGCTAGTAACTTGATTTGAGAACAAAATCACCAGCGTCAATGGCGCTGATATCACTATCAAAAGCTTCAGTTTGAATTGAAATTTCTGGTTTACAAACCCAAGAGCACTTGGATGCTAACAATATCTGAAGTGACTAAAATGATGGAAAATATGGAAGTGTACACAGGATTACTGGATCTTAAACCTTTTGTAAAAGGTTTAACTTCTCGAGACTGCCACAAACAAGGTTAACTTCCAATTGAAATTTAGAAAAATTGAATGTTCTGAAATGCCAATTCTTGAAATTAAACGCCATCATTAACCAAACTTTTTTCCAAGCAAGCTGAAATTATTCACATTAAAACAAGTAAACACTAGAAATTGCAAACTAAGGAGATTATGTTCAGATTTACAATCAAAACGCATTAAACTACCTTCCAAGAAACTTAAATAATCCTAAAATTTTAGAGCAAAGACGAACAAAAAAATTTGTACCCTCTCAAGAATAAAATTCCTTAATGGTCTTGGCTGAAATTTGGTTCATTCACTACAAACCATCACAAGATTTGTATTAAAAAAAGGCCCCAACAACACATAATCATAGCAAAGATTGAAACCACTTCAAATCATAGAAACTGCAGTTTCAAGAAGAGCAAATAACATTTCCAACTGGTAAATAAGCTTCCTAAGTAATCACCACGTAAAGAGAACTCCATAACATTTGATTATTTGGATTTATTCTTTCTGATCTAAATCATGCAAGCAAAAAGTTGCAGAGCACAAGACTGAAACTGAGTTATTAAAAAAAAAAAAGAATAAAAAGAACGAGCGGTTAATACTTTTGGGGTTTAATTACATTTACCTCCTTTATAGTTTAACCAAACTTATTGTAAAATTAAAGTATCAATTCTTACCAATAAATGATGAAGTGCATTTGACATTTTTGTTTCCTAGTACAAGTTGGCCGGCGTAACTGAAATTCGTCAACGGTGGTTTTAATCAAGTTGTTCGGTGCTTTCTAACCCCGTACAGGCATCGATCATATCATACAAATTTCTTTTGGACATTTAACCAAACACCTTATATGCATTCCCAAATTAAACACTTTTCACATAAACGATGACATACTACTACCATCATTTTGTTTGCAACTATACCTTGCTGGAAGGGCCTTTAAACGGCATCCAGTGGGAGTCATTCCCAGAAGATGTATAAAACTTAAATAAGAAGGAACAGAAGATGCACAAAATACGAAGGGTACAATTTTCAATTCACTAGCAAAAGCCTCTCCTTCATTGTCATCTAAAACTATGATAAAATCAAAACAAAAACAAAACGGAATAATGAATATGCAGAAGAATATTCAATTTTCAGTGGAATAACAAAAACACAAATCACTTTGTTGCAACTATACCTTGCTGGAAGGGCCTTTAAACGGCATCCAGTGGGAGTCAGAATCTTCGTTCTCGAATCCGTCTGGCGATTCTCGATCAGAACTGTCGTAATCTTGCCAGGAAAATTTTGCCAGGAAAAAATTTCTATTCCATCATATCGTGAGGTGAGAAGAAAATAAAAAGAAGGCAAGCAACTTTAGAGAGATATGATAATTCAAAACCGTTTTCAGAAACCGGTGATTTTTTACTTAAATATGTAAATTTTTTACTTTTAGTATTAGTAAGTTTAATTTAAAAAAAAGTAAATTTTGTCAAATAATAAGTAAATTAAATTACTCAAAGTGTAAATTTCTATTTCTGACTAAAACTTATCTTTCAGGCATATACTTACTAGTTTTAATTAAAAACTTACTAAAGTTAATATTAATTATTTTAATATAATATTTAAAAAAGTCGCTAAAAATTTTGATCTGTCATTAAAGGTAATAAAAACCTATAATAGCAGGTTTCCCTAATATCGTTATCATAACTATAGGCACTATAGCATTGTCCGGTGGAGAAATGCTTTAGGAAGCAAAGGGCGGCGATTAAGTTATACATGGAAAAGCCCATACTATAATGGTTTTGTAATGGGACGATGAATATATTTAGTTGTACGATTTAACAAATTTTACAATTACACTGCTGAAATTATATAAATTTGTACCAAATATTATACTAAGAAAGATCTGGATCAAACTGAATGATACGTACATCCCCAATGGGCCGATTCATTGCAGAAACATCAAAAATCGAAGGGAGAAGTGGCCCACGGTACACAAGGACACGGACCTAGGAAGCAACTTTGGTGGCACGAATCAATAATCTAAAAATCTTGGGTGCGTTCTGTGCGTCAAAGGAAAGGGACTGAACACGTTAGTACCCAAACATTTAAGGTAGTGAACGGTGGTACAACTTTTGGTCCACAAGATCCTGAATTTATTTATTGGCCATTTAACATTGTCAGGGGACAAAAAAGTCACTGTCCCTGTCGAATACAGTTAGTGCTTCAAAAAAAAAAAAAGAATTAACAATGGTATCAAAAGCTCTTTTCACAAAATGATCTGCAATAATTCACTTACGTACCCGATTTTATACAAACCACCGTTTGATTTTACATACTTAATTCCTTATTAGAAATGATTAAAATAAAAGATTAATCTTTTCTACCATCACATTGTCAGTATTGGATGAATGATAACTATGTAAAATTTGAATTTAAAATTTAATTTTTATATACATGTTATGAATATAATAATAATAGTGTATGTATTATTAGTATATATAAAATTTATTCTAAAATAAATGCATAACAGATACGTATACCTATGTAAAGGACAACAAAAGATGCCCAAAAAAAATGGCATGTTTGGTCATCATATTATTAATTAGGAAAGAAAAACAACAAAAGGAAAACAGAAAACTGCTTGTCCCCCGAGGGATATGTTTTTGTACCGTCTGGAATCTGAAACCACGGCGATTCTAGACGTCATTTTCACTGTCAAGTCTGTCACCTTTCAAAAAAAGAACTTTGTGGGCCAATTGGTAATTCAGCAATAATTTAAGGGTCAGTTTGGGATTTTAGAAAAAAGTCACCTGCCATCTAATTGGAGGGAAATTAGCGCCACGTTGACATTTGTTTGCCTCCTCTGGCGTTAAAGTCTCGTCTCATCCAAGTAATGTAAAGACACGCAAACAAATGCTAGCTGTTTACTAGTAGCAGTACTTGACCAACAGGAGGAAGAAAAAGAAAAAGGTCAGAGCCAAGCCAACAACACTACCCTCTTAACTCTTTTCGTATTTCCCCAAGAAATAAACCAGCCACTACTGTATCATCGCCCCCCCCCCCCCTTTTTTTTAAAAAAAAAATATTTATACCCCATTAGTCTATTTAGTCTAGTCACGAAATTAAAACACAGGTGAGGTGAAAGAAACAGTAGTAAAACACATGACACGTGTAACAAAACCACCGACTTTGTCACGGTTGCTCCCCGGAAAAGTCCAAGTGGCCTTAGGTAATCTCATCAAACCAACCAGTCCCCCTAACAAAACTAGCGTCGGCACTCTGACGTCTGTGGAGCAGTGGTGTTTCACAATCTTTTTGCCATCTTTTCTGCTGACTCGAGTCATCAGCATTTTCACTACTATGACAGCTAACAGCAAAAACCAACACAAGACCGACGTCCAAACCAATCACCGCTCTCCTCTTGCTGGATTTTCCGGTGAGAATTCGATCATCTTCTTTCTCACACGCTAAAACAGACTCGAGCACAGGACATGTTGTTGTCATGTAATACTCTCTGCGTGTATGTATTAGTAGCAGCATGCGTTCACATATTTGTGCTATTTGTTGAGATGGGATTGCATTAAAATTTTCTGCTTTGACCAAAGGTTGAAACTTTATAGTCGTAATTAGTCGTCAGTAAGAAGAATTCTTTTGCTCCTTGAATCATACTTAGTAGTTAGAATGTGGCTCTTGGAAATAAATTGATGTAAAAGTATTTATTGGCACAAAGGAAGGAGTAAATGCAGAGGGGGCAGAAATGAAAGAGATAGAAATGTTGGTACTCTGTTGCAGTGGTCGTCTCTGGATGTCTGCCATAATGACTTCCCTTATTGTATGAATCTGATCCTCATGCATTTATAGTCTTGAGATTCCATTCTTGTGCTTTAAAGTCCTTTCTTTTTTCCCTCACAATTATATCATCTGAAAGCCTCTTGTCCCTCTTTCCTTTTCTCACTCTCTCTTTTTCTTTCTTGTGCACAAGAAAAAACAATTTTTTTTCTTTCTTTTGTTCAAATGAACCAGTGGATTTTTGAAATGTTAAGTAGTGGCAGTAATTTGTTTGTGGGATTTTTTTCTGCGGTTGTAGTTGCTTGAATGAGGAACATGGAAAAGAAGAAGAAACGAGAGACGAAGCAAAAGAAGATGGGAAGATCACCATGTTGTGATAAAGAGGCAGTGAAGAAAGGGGCATGGAGTCCTGAAGAGGACAAGACTCTTGTTGACTACATCAACAAGAATGGGCATGGTACCTGGCGATCCCTCCCTAAACTTGCAGGTTGTCCTCTCTTTCTTTCCATCTTGTAACTTTTTCTTTCTTTCTTGTCTGAGTGTTTGTGGCATCTAAGCTGGCATAAGGCATGGCCCGCATGGGACTGTTTGATGGATCAAGTTGCATCTTGGAAATTTTCTTTTTGGTTGGCTACTGATCCTTCCAGCTTATTTTGCAGCCCAGATTCATTAGACAAAACATGAAAAAATATGTCTAGTTGGTCAGAAGAGGAAAGGTCCATCTCCTTTTTTTGTCTCCTGTCTTTGTGGATCAGCTAGTGAGTAGCGACACGAAGATGAGCTACTCTTCTCATGGACTTTCCCTTCTTTTGCTCACGAATTAAAATTGACACCATGTTATTTACATAAATTCAGGACCTAATTACCAAGAGAAGGCAACAGTTAAATTAGTGTGTTGGAGTATGTTAAATGTTTCAATTTTGTGCTGCTATAGCCATATTATCTATCACCAAGGGCTCTAAGACATGGTAGGAAAAACTTCATGTTCCACAATGGCACAGTTCCAACCTGACGGTAACACCGCTATTCCTCATGTTACACCTTACTATGGAAATTTATCAAATTCGAGGACATTTCTTCCTCTTCATAATACCAATAGTTAGCTCTCGATTGCATCACTTAGAGGTACTTGATGAATAGAGTTGAAACAGTAAATGATGCATTTGTTTTCTAGACTACCGGATTGTTACTTTCTTGGCCTTCATTTCTGGAGATTTAATAGCCACTAGTCAGCATAAGTTGCAAAGTAACTTTTTACATTCACCTAGCCAAATAAAGGCCTAGAACAGGACACCCACGTCTATAGATGGTGTAAATCTCAATGAAATGTATCTACAAAACTGAAAAGTGAATCTTTTTCTGAATCTTTTATTTAGGTCTCCTTCGATGTGGCAAGAGCTGCCGACTTCGGTGGACAAATTATCTCCGTCCTGGTATTAAACGTGGTCCATTCTGTCCCGAGGAAGAAGCTTCTATCATGCAGCTGCATACCATGCTAGGCAACAAGTAAATGATAAATTAAGTTAATTACTCCTTTCTACATGCAGAGTCAATTATATTTTTATCCCATTGACTGGTATGTTGGTTAGCAAGTTAGGCTAGTTGGCTACAATTCTTTCATTACTTTGATGTTTGACGTGCTAAATTTTCTGCCACATCTATATGTTTGTTCAGTTTAATTACATCTTGATGCTACCGTGTCTGTTACATTATGTCTTTTGCTTAACATTTTGAGAATTTGATACAAATCATTCCTTGCATGATACAACTATACTGATTAACAAGCCAACATGACTAGCAAGATTTATATACTTGTCATGTTTGGAAAGCCAATACTTAAAAGCTTCTTCTCCTCTCTGTACCACTTAGATCTTTTCTCGGTGGACTATATTGATGCAAGAAACTGGTTAACAGGCTTCTCCTCCTCTCAGTGTTCTGCAATCTTAGTTGACTTGCGTTTCTGGTGTTACAAGCCATGTTTTTGTCTCATGTAACTTTGATTATCCTTTCTTAACTGAAACACATAGGTGGCATGATATTCTTGTGGATGATTTAGCACTACAAGCTTGCTGATGGATATTTTTCTAAGAACCATGATAATGATGACCTCAGTACACTTGCTGCCCTTGGATATGAAAATTTTCCACTTATGCCTCTAATTCGAGTAACTGGCGCCTATTCCTTTCTATGCCTTTTCCTGAATAGCAAAAATTATTGATTCAGTTATTTTGCCTGTTTGATTGGCTATTTTTGTTAGCTTTATGTATCAAATTGCTTGACATTTTATAGTTTTGATATTCTATTCATCTTCTCAAATTTAATCATAGATGGGCAGCTATAGCTTCTCACTTACCTGGAAGAACAGACAATGAAATCAAGAACTTCTGGAACTCGCATCTAAAGAAGCGTGTTAAAGCAAGCCTCGACCAGCCAGAGTCCATTTTAACATCTGATGACTTTGGATTGGAAACTCCATCAACTCGCCACATGGTGCAGTGGGAAAGTGCCAGACTTGAAGCAGAGGCCCGGCTATCAATGGATCCTTTACTCCTGAGCTCATCATCAGCAGCTAAAACGGAATGCGACTACTTCCTTCGTCTTTGGAATTCTGAAGTTGGAGAATCATTTCGTCAAGGAGTCGCTTGTCAGAGTCCTTTGTCTCAAGTGTCATCATCCATAAAAGATGAATCAACTTCTGGAGTTACAACACAGACTGATTCTGCAAGGATATTTGGCTCTGCTGATGCCACTGAAAATCAGAAGCAGGAAGAGCATATGAGCTGCCATAATTCAGAAGAGCTGCTTACTGGTTCTGATTCCTCAAAGTCACATGAATTGGATAATTCCTCAGAAACAAAGATGCAGCTACTGCAAGATTTACCGAATGGTAATGATATGGAATTTCTGCAAGAACCTATTGATGATGTCTCCATGTACCTGCAAGAACCAATTTCACTGACTGACTGCTATCCTTGGAAACAATTATAGTTGTGGTTATAGCAACTTACATCTGAAAAACTGCTGCAGTAATTATTTACATGTTTTGCTAATTACAGCCGCTGGCTGTTTAAAACTCTAAATCAAGGAGCTCTAGTCCCAGAGGACAGTAAATCAGGTAGCAAACCAAACAGTTTTGGCAATTTGTATATGTACTGGGTTTTGGAAAAGGCAGAAAAACTTCTTTCTTTTTTGTGTGTCGTTATTACTGAATACACCTTCTCCGTCATTTTCCATAACCGCTTCTCCTCGTCCTCCTCCCCCTCCCCCTCCCCCACAGGGTGAGTACATAATCAATTTTGTTAGGCTTCTTGAGCATTAAAGCCTTGAAGGACGTGCTCTATTTTTCTCTTATTAATGATCTGCGTACAAAATGCTTAACGAGAAATGTGCCAAAATCCTTTTATAACAAGGGGTAGATTAGTCGACAAAACAATATTCAAGTGGATCTGTAACATTCAAATTCTCGATGCAAATTCCTGTATACGTCCGTTCAATACGTCTTCTCGTATGTGATCTAAAATCTGTATAGCTTTGAGCAAATGTAGAGAAAGCTTGTCGGTAGACCTGTCAGCATTTTTTGTTCCGGATCAGCCAGCATTTCTTGTTTCTTTCTGAGTAAAATATCAAAAAAGCCCCTTATGATTTCAAATCATATATTTCGACCTCTCATAGTTTGAACTAATTTGAAATAACAATATTAAAATCATCAAAACTAATGGAAGTGGACGAAATGACACCAATTACCCTAATATATATAAATAATAAAAGATCTTCTAACAATCATCCTATTAAACAAACTTAAGGAAAAACCCCCTATACTTGAGCCAACCAACGTAAATAGGAATAAAGTAAGTTGTGTTTAGAAGTTCTTATTTATTTATTTTGTGTATAGAAATAAGGTGACTTTTATTTTATGTATAGAAATAAAGTGAGTTGTATTTGGGAGTTTTGGATTTTTTTTAAAATTTTATGAGTTCTAAAGGTTTTGATAGATATATCATCTAACAATTTGATTTTAAAAATTATTTTTCATATCAAGCAACCTCAAACTTGTTAATTTAGATGATTTTTATCTATTTTTCACATTAATTCAAATCACGAGATATTGGATTTTTTTTGTATGTTTGCTTAATCACAGCGAATTTTTTTGTATTATAACTCTAAGGATATAATAGGTATATCAATTAAAAATTTGTTTATTTTCCGCATAAATACTTACAAAAGAAGCACGTGTATTTCAAATCCATTAATTCAAACGATTCCCGTCACTTTTTCAAATTAGTTCAAACCACAGATTTAAAACTATAGGGATTTTTCTATATATTTATTTAATCCCATGAAGCTTTTCTATATTTTACACTTTCTTTTTCTTTGGTTTGTCTCCAAGAAAATACATAAAGAAAGGACTAATCTATTCTGAAGACATTTGTGGCACTGCCACATCTGGATTGTCTATCTAACCTAACCTTATCAAGTTTGCAGCGTAAGGATTAGGTTGAAGCTTCTAAGCAATAACAACCCAATCAGCACAGTTCCAAGAAAATGTCTTGGGAAATTTTGGGACCACAAAAAAATGTCAATAAAGGAGGAAGAAGGATAACATTATAGTTGCAAGCACACTTCTAAATTTTTCCGGCAAGCTTTCCATGACAATTTACTGTTTGCATTCATATCCTACCGAAGATCGACCTTAACAGCTTCGACTACAAGGAACGGTTTCTTCCAATCTTTCTTGTCACAAATGCACAATTCTGTCATCCTCCACATGCTAAAATACATAATTATGCACACCCAACAATGAATGCTAATTAACGTGGCACAGTTTTTGCAAGCCAAACACATGTATTAACAAATAAAGCAATAAAATGAAAAATTTACAACGCAGATTCCAACAGTTTTCATGTAGACCTGATAATTTTCAGCTTCAGAAACATCCTAGGAGTTTCTTTGGAGCAGTTCCAGTGGCACGGTATTTTGCTGCTCCCTCTTCTGCCTTGAGGAGATCTTCCCCGCGTTTGTACTCAATGGCCGCCTTCTGTTCTTCTGCTGACTTGTGGAGGGCAGCGATCTTATTTTTCATTTTCTCTACATATTCTGCCTTCTGTTTCTCCAGCTTTTCCTACATACCATAAAACCCATGTGTGTTGATAGAGATTGAAGCTTCTTAACTGAAGTACCATTTACTTGCAATGGCGCCAATGGTTTACATACATCTAGACAAGTATGGGATCATCAACCTGTTAAAAATTAAAATGAAGTGGAAAACAAGAGAATGCCCCGCTTGTGGAGTCACATATAATATAATCCTTTGCAAGATTAAATATATGAATCACTTAAACGCAGAAAGTGCTTGAACCTTGACTAATATTCTTGCATTTAAGTAGCCATTTTCTTCAATGGTTCACAGAACTGGCTAGTAAAGCTTTTAACACACTCTATTAACTTCTAAAAAATGCCTTTGAATTATGATTTGTCCCACAAAGGATGTGCTAACATGGAGACTAAAGGACACCTAATGTTACAGTTCTACTTCGGCAAAAAAAAATATTAGTGAGGACTTGTTACCTCAATCTTTCTGAGTTCGGCTTCTATAGATGCCTTCATGCTGTTCTCCCAGGACCCAATGGCTGATATCTTTTTCTGAGCTCTGTCAGCAAAATTCAGATTGAAGGTTGTCAACATTGTCAACTACCAGACCTTCAAACCCCTTCCCACCCCGTCAAACAACAAACAAAAAGCAGTAACTGGAATGAAAAAAGCCTTTTGGTTATGTGGTTTGGTTGATACCGCATATGGTTTTGTGTGGTAACATATAGGCATTGTTCAAATGTTAGCAGTCAAAAGTTTCCTCAGAGTTTCAAAATGTTAGCAGTCAAAGTTTGCCACCAAGGCCAAAGAAGAGAATTGACCAAAGTACTCAGTATTCTTAGACATCTTTAGTAATAGAAAAGGCCATGAATAGACAATAGATGGTGAGTTATCAGGAAAGCTTCTTACTTGTTTTCAGCTTTAGATTTCTCACTTTCTTCCCATGCCTTGATCAAAGACAGCCTCTTCTCTGTTGCCACTCGTGCTAGCACTGCATCTGAGGGTGGATATTTCAAGCAAAGTGAGTATATTCTTTCCAGTTCCGCATGGTGGGAATCAGAATAATACGTGTATCAGTACCACACATGCAAAATTATGTTACCTCGGTTAATAGAACCCTCAGCAGGTTTCTCTTCAGCAGGTTCTGCCACAGACAGAAAAAAAAAGAACAAACAATTAAAGCGCAAAATAGAGGACGAAATCTGTTCCAATCATTTGAAGGCTCCTTACGTCCAATTAGGTGGGCGATGAGAGATGGTATCAACCCATATGGATATGAGGATTAAAAAAAAAAAAAAAAATCACACAAACAGAGAAAGACAAAAATATTATAACTAGTTTATCTCCAATTTTGGTGTATATTCATTTCGATATGATCAAGTCCCCCCCCCCCACCCCAAAAATAAAAAGGATCAAGTTTAGCATCATGCTTAGCAATTAAACAAGACTGATAAAAATCAATCAGGAATACACCCAAAAGTAAATTTAATTCCCACCCCAACCATAAATTAGCAACTTTTAACCATTAACTACACGCTACCAACATAATACTTTACTCCTTGAGTTGGGAGAAAAATAACAACTATCATATGCTACTAGCATATCCTCCTTATAATTCAATTTGGATAAATAAGATAGTAATTTCATAGACAGTCAGTTTGCTTGAATTATGACCGAGAATCAATTAAAAAACCAATCTTGAAGAATAAGTATGCAACAGAAGTGACTTATTTCCACTCCACCGATGAAAATACAATCAAGAATTGTTTCCAAAATTACCAATCTTGAAGAATAAGCATGCAATATAGGTGGCTTATTTCCAAGCAAACGCAAACTTACCCCAAAATCAAGAATCCAATCAGCTGAAAATACATTTTGTCAGTATTACTGCACTACATACTGATGTCATCCCGAGAATTGTTCCAGAAAACAAAAAAAAAGGGAAATCGTAAGGTGAATTGTACTTTACATACATACTTTCAACGATGCCAAGAGCTTTGGAGTCATCATGTTTCTCCTCAGGAACTGGGACTAGTGGTTTCTCCTCAGTTACTGAGACTAGTGGTTTCTCCTCAGCCACATCTTTAAGAGCTTTAGCGGATTCTGGTCCCGGAGGCGGAGGCTCAGAAGAAGCGGTCTCGGGCTCTACTTTTTTGGCTTCCTCTTCTGCCATGACTAGCAACTAGTGTTGTGCGAGCCTAGCAGCAGAATTAAGCGTAGAAGAAGATACTACTAGCACTGTAGCAAACGAAAATACTAGAAGAGCGGATTGAAGATTTGTGGGACGGGGGGGGGGGGGGGAAGAAAGAGAGGAGAAGGGGATATGGTGATATTATTGGGAGTTGTTTGGAGGAGTGTAACTGTCTCGCTGAAATAGTGAAATGAATTGGAACAGAAACGATGCCACGCCGCTCCTTTGAATCATTTTTGGTGGTGTCGGCCCTACTCGTAGTTGGCACTTACACACCTAAACAAATGCTTAGA